TAGGTTGAAGATTTTGACAGTTACTCGACCATCAAAGGAATCTGAATAGGAATTCACTGCTATAAAGAGGAAGAAATTTGTAACGAACACTGTTTAGAGTGCTTGTCTATCTTTATTTTGAACGGTTTTAGGATAGGTCTTGAAAAATCACGAACCATCGGACAACAGTAAGTTGGCTAATTTCTATTACACTTCAATTTTGGAAAATTCCAGAAGCTCTCTAGAATCTTCACTTTGCTCAATATGTAGGGCACGTCAGGGCGTACACAACAATATGACTGATGCCGCACTACAAATAGCTAACAAATTTAAGACAATTTTGTAAGCATAAAAAAACATTAGTTCTTTGATTTTTTTCTCTGCGTCTAATGTCTACTTCTCCTATAATTCTTTGAAAAAACATTTTTACAACATCTCTTTTATGGCAACACTTTAATGCCACTAGTATGTCAAAAATGAGGGTGAAAAATAAACCAAAGAATCAAAAATCTTCGAAAATTGGTTGGAAGTAATCTTCTGAATTTTCAAAAATTGTTCTTCATGTGCATCAGTTGCTTGACTACCCTAGTTTGGGTATAACTTTAAGCTATTTTATGAAGAGATTTTCCCACGTCAGAATAGGTTCCTTTCATAGATTATTACTGGTGCATCGTCTCGATATAGGCTTTTTTCGCTGTCACTTACGCTTGTACAGTTCCACTTTGTAATCACAGAGTGAACTAAATTATCAAAGGTATTAGTTTTAATCTTGACTTCTTATGTTCATGTTTCAGTGGAAGGGCATTCCTCAAAGTTTTGCACCCCTTCCAGAATTCTCAGCTAAAACTGCATCTTTCAAAGTCTCTTCTCTAATCGCGCTTATCAAATACGATCTTCTTTGCAAACTTGCACAATGTAGCGCTTCCGCGTAGTCTGTTTACTCACTTCTGTCAGCAGCTCTTAGCGGGAATGGACTTCCATGGATAGCTAGTCGATTGTAGAAGACGTTCAATGTGTGCAGGCCGGGGTGTTTGGGTGTGTACTCACAGTCAAAGACACCTTTGCTGGACCCTTCTAAACTTGATCGGTAATATAGTTCCTAAGCGTTATTTGGTATTTGGATAAAGCAAGCTCGCCTATGACAGCTAACTGATGTTCTCCTCCAAGAGCATCAACTACCACTACTTCAACGACTCCTCTGATAGCTCCTTCCACGCGTAACGGCACAGGATCACCAACCCGTACTCGTTCTGGATACGAACACAAGCGAACGATAGGCAAAGCCTGAAAGCAGATGGAGCATGAAAACTGCAAAGAAACGCCTAGAGCAAAATTGCCACGGTAACTGTCAATTGCCACTCACTTCTATAGTCCGGGTAGCTGCTTCTACAGGTGTGACAGTTCCCAGTGCTAGATCTCTTAAGGCTAGCGAAATCTGAAATACTTTGTTCGATTTGATTTTATTTTCATATCTCCATTCTCCATATTTTCTCTGTTCACGAACTTTACAATCCCTGGTCCAACAAGGACCAAACTCCATATCAACCTATTCTGAAACTAAACCTCTCACATGATAGATTCCGTCACGTAATGGAGTGTAGGTGATGATGAACTTATGCGGATCTTCTTCAGCGACCGTGTAATGCACTTCACGCCCATCCGGATCAATGATTTTCATCTAAGCATGAAAGTACATCTCAACAGCTCTATTCATTGAAACTTATCAAACTTTCTTACCTTTGGCTTGTAGCCATCTCCAACGATATTGACTACAAATTCAGTGGGCATATTGACCACAGGGAAAGCATTCAAATCCATCAAACTTCCAGAAGCTATCGGTTCTTCAGGAAGCTCTCTCTTGACTTCATCCAGCCTAAAACATTCAGAATATCCTGATATCAAAACACTTTAACGATTCGGTCACTCACTTGGCAGCTGGGAATTGTGACAGATATGTCATCACCGACATTTCATCAATCTCCGGATGTATTAGCTCACCCGGCGTAATCAGCTGAAAAATAGTGTAACTGACAACTCATGATGCATTTTCATTATTCAAAAAAGTCTGTTAGATTATGTGCGCTATGCTTTTTTACAGGGGAGAGTCACAAAGTCGATGCGGGCGGTTACTATAAAATGCGTACCATTACTGAAAGCTTGGAAAGTTGATTCCACTCTTTTCTTATCTGCACAGCGCTACTGGGAAGAAATGTGAATTTAAAGCGAAAAGCTAACAAGTTACAAGATGAATTCGATCTTTATAGCTCCGTGTTCGTCAAGTGGAGCAAGTGTAAAGACTGATAAACAACCGAAGCAATTCATTTTATGAAGTAGCTTGATGAATGCCTTCTTGAAATCTGGAAAGGCTAACCTTATTTTATCTTACAAGGAAACAATATTTGATGTCTATGGTCTATTGAGATGAGATATATACCATTACACTTGTCTTGAAACTTCCGAATCTGACTTCCGTTTCTGCTTCTGATCGTAGTTCCTCGAAGCTGCCATATGGCGCGAGTTTTCTTCACAACTTCTTTCATAGTCAGAATCAGCATCCAAGACGAGTGTAATGGTATTCATGTCATCTCAGAAGGCCACAAACACAGAGATCGTTCCCTTGTTAGCCTTTAGTTCATTTTTTCGCTCCAGTAATTGCACATAAATTTCTCAGGGACGAAATTCAGATAGGGAAAGCAAATTGGAAATAGCGTTCGAGGCTCTCAGTAATAGTGTGCACATTGTGGTGATCGGTCACTTCGACTTATTGTTAGTAACCCGTCCTTGTTAACAGAAGATAGTTCTCCCATATTCTGTGCTCTACTCTTACTTTCTCCCCGATTCTACCATCTGGACTTCTGTTCCCTCTCCCGTATGTTCCAGCTTCAGGATGTTCGAAATCGACGGATACCCTTTACTACGTATAAAAGGTCGAAATCTAGTGGAACTCATATTCATGCTTGCTTGTTTACTGGATGTCCCGATGACTGTACTTGCACTAACAATAATTGTCAAAAGTACTCCACCGCAAATGAAAGCCTACAAATGGATTATCATAAACCTGACGGTAATGCCCCGCTTATAAACTACTTCAAAGAACTGTAATAGAGTTTTGATCATCAAATTCAGGTCACAACATTCGTCACAGATTTCACTATATGTTTCTTATACGACCCTATTCCGCTATTTCCGGACATCGCCTGCTACTCGAAAGCTTATCTACCTAACATTAGTGAAAACGCAAACTATATTATGTTGGTTAGTATAGCGCTCTAAGGCGACTCTATCGTAGTCTCAACAATAATATTTATGTTTCAGTGCATATGTTTGATACTATTACAATGCACTTTGTGCAGTACATTAGTCGCATTCATATACCGACTGCAAGCTTTGGGGCAGTTTGGACCCTTTCAAAGCCTCTCCGACATTAGCTCAAAGTGGATTATTCCTGCAACATACACTCTCGGTCTATTACCAATCGTCGCAATCCTAATAATCTCATTCAAACCACATAGTCAGATGCGAGCAATAGTCGGAGTAAGTTCATTAGAAACCAAACAAATAAGTCACCAATGACTTGTTTTAGAAACTTCCATTGACTACTTTCGATAAGGACTTAGTCATGGAACGCGGGTCTCCACTACCTCCGCGTTCCGTGGAGCATTTAAGAAAAAACGTATACCTCATCACGGACAAATTCTCAGCGCATCCTTCAGAACCCCATTTCGAAAAAGCTGGATGAAAGAAAACGTCTTTACGACATCTTAAGAGAAAGCATAAAGACCCATAAAATTAAACTTAGTTCAGATGACATAATAGTCGCGCGCAAAGATATTTTTTACGTTGAGACTCTCTTGGGTACGTCTGTGCTAGCAGGTATAGAGTCCGACCGTGCTCGGCTTGGGATTAGACATTCCTACTATGACCTATGCTTCAACAGGACATAGCCTCTTGATACTGGTCAAAAGGGGATTTCTGTCTTAGGCACGCGCCATACTTGATCCGCTTAATCCAACTGATCCGCTTCATCACTGATCAATTCAGTGAACTGGCCAGTAGTGAAGGGGATGAAACGGATCAAACGGATCAAGCGAGAGCAACCGCCCGCTTCACGATTGGTCAGTTCACTGAGTTGACCGATGACGAAGCGGA